TGTGCCTAATCTTTGTGCTCACATTCTAATCTCTTAAGTAGAATAATTTCCTTCTGTCTCTTCTGCTCATGACCTCCTGTTTATTTTCCCTCTTCTTTAAAGCCTTCCCTTATACTCACTTCAGCTGCTACATGTCAGCTCTTGCGTATCACAGTGTACCGTAATTGTGTATCTGTCTTTGAAGCAAGAATTTGTGTTTCCTTGCGTATGGTTGGCACTTGATAACCATTTTGTGGATTCATAAATGATTGAAGATAGGTAGGAGTTGGAATTTTACAAAAATTGTTGGTTTTTAAAATATCAGTAGAATTAGTTTTTAAAACTTGGCTTTCTTATGGATTGTTTTACAGTAGCTGTCCTGGCTTGTATATGACAGAAGTAAAGATGAATGAAAGTGGAAAACGGACATTAAAAGCATCTATGACTTCGTGTGTATTTGAGAAGACTGCCTCGCTGGCTGGTGGTCTCCTACACGTGAATGGCAACAGCAGTTTAAGTGAAGGAGATCAAGGTTGTGGCAGGTAAAATCTACAAATTCTTTATTTCTAGGTGAAGACTTATTAGCGGTGATTACCTTCTCTGGAAATAGAACCGCAGCATATAGCGCAAAGGCCAGGGCAAGAGAATCCTCAACTGTATCGGAGGAACTCTGCCGGAAGGTTAAGATGGGGACAAGTGCCTTTGACCGAAAGTAGTTTCAATAAAACATCCCCATGGAAGCCGGGCTGCAGTGAGTCAGTGTGAACAGCCCCTCAGAGGACATTCCCTGGGAAGGCAGGAGAGGACTGGGCGATAACTGAAGGGGAGCGTGGGGCTCGTGGGGGTTCCCTTTCTTTTTTTTAATGATGACATGGTAGTTTGTAGAGCATGTCTGTGTGCTGTTGGATGTGATTCCATAGAAGACGTGTTTTTCAATTTCATCTTGTTTGCATTTCTGGTATTAGAAAGTGTATTGATTGTACTGTGTTATCTTTAAAATAGAGTAGTAAGCTTCTATTCGTGTATAGTTTTGTTGTAAGGTCTTACTCATTAGTTCTGAAGCATAATATTCTTACACAATTGAACATTCAGATAATGACTTTAAAGTTACACCATTGTCCATAGATTGTTAAAAATTGTATACTCATAATAACTATACAAACACTTAGGCCATACTGAATAGGGTTTAATCATTCCTTGATGACTCTAGACTTTATAGTGTCCTTGACAGTATCATCATGAGTGGCTGTGGTTTTTGTATGCTATTGTAAAATACCAGATTATATTAACAGTATTTGTTTAGATTCTAGGAAGAACGGGAAGGTTTTGTTTATATACAATAGAATAATAAACTATTAACAATCTATCACAGATGATTACTTTTGGATTACTAAGTTCTAAATTAAAAAAGCCATCATGCTCCATAAGGACATGTCAAATGCATGAACAAACAGCTGAATGGATAATGAACGCCTGCTGATTAATGTCTTTAGCAAAAGCAAATCTTTATTAAAAGTAGATTTCCAGGATTGCCTAGGTCTAAAGTCTTTTTATTTTGAAAAAATAGGTGTTAAGATTCAGAAATTATTATTATTTTAACAGTTTTTTCTTGAGTCATAGTCGTCTTGCAATGTTGTGTCAAATTCCAATGTAGAGCACAATTTTTCAGTTATACGTGAATATACATATATTCATTGTCACATTTTTTTTTTGCTGTGAGCTACCATAAGATCTTATATATATTTCCCTGTGCTATACAGTATAATCTTGTTTATGTATTCTACTTTTTGAAATCCCAGTCTGTCCCTTCCCACCCTCTGCCCCCTTGGCAACCACAAGTTTGTATTCTATGTCTATAAGTCTGTTTCTGTTCTGTATTTGTTTTGCTTTGTTTTTGTTTTTAGATTCCACGTATGAGTGATCTCATATGGTTTTTTCTTTCTCTTTCTGGCTTACTTCACTTAGAATGACATGCTCCAGGAGCATCCATGTTGCTACAAATGGCGTTAGGTTGTCGGTTCTTACGGCTGAATAGTATTCCTTTGCATAAATGTACCACATCTTCTTTATCCAGTCCTCTGTTGAAGAACATTTAGGCTGTCTCCATGTCTTGGCTATTGTAAATAGTGCTGCTGTGAACATTGGGGTGCAGGTGTCATTTTGAAGTAGGGTTCCTTCTGGACATATGCCCCAGAAATTATTATTTATAATTATACCTAGATACGGAATAAAAATAGAGAGTCATTTACTCCATTAGTTAAACATACTTAAAAATAAATACTACTTTCTTCGCATATTGTGAAATGCAAGTATTGAAGCCAGATTGCCTGGGTTGGAATTCTGGGCAGACATAGGGGCTTCGACGAGTGACTTGGCTTTTCTCTGCCTCATTTTCTTCCTGGGTAAAGTACCTAAAGTATTACCTACCTCCCAGGATTGTTGTGAGGATTAAAATGTCTTTAAGACATGTAAAGTGCTGATAATGATGCACAGCAGTTGCACACTAAGTCCTCAAAAAAGCTAATATGATTATTAGAAAAGGGTTTCTTTCATATAAGGACTTAAGTAATACTTTCCAAATGGGTTTTATTGTCATAAAAGCCAGTTTTTATTAAAAAAGACAACAACAAGAAAATCCTGGTATATTTTTTCCTATCAAATAATACAAGTAATGTTAGTTCTTCCTTTTCCTTTGCTTGTCCGCTTGATCTAAATTTAATACTTTGTTAATAATATAATTGATATACTTTCTTTGTCCTTTAATGTTACTGTTTCATTTAATCTCTTTTATTGAAAATTAATTATCAATGCAAAGACTTTATATAAAAAATAATAGATGTACATATTTCTTGTATTTTCAATAT